TGTAAAATCATAAAATAAATAGAACATTTGTCGTTTTGTCGTGAATAACATATTTTATTTCATCTCTAAGCAAGAAAACTTATATTTTCACTCATGCATGAGTTTTCTTGCTTCTCGATGAAATAAAATATGTTATTCACTCTAAAACGACAAATATCCTCTATATATAACATTTTGAGTCAGCAAAAAGACCAGTGATTTAGGTCTTGCGTAATTCATCTTTAACCTGAACGTATATGGTTATTGTTTTATGAGCATATTTATTTCGTTGTTTTTCCTGATTGAACTACTTATGGGAGATTAGATAAGAGCTGGCAATTCTCACTATAATAGTTAAAAACTAGATAATGTAAAGGCAATTTTCTGAAAATTTCAGTCAAATTGATCCACTATAAACCGAGATTTTAGCTATTGAATATTGGGGCTAGCCTCGATCATCATTACTAAAGTCGGTATGATAAAAAACATAGTCTTGATTATCCACTTTTTGATTTAAGTATGAATGGAAGTCGAACAGCAAATCGGAACGCAATCCAATAAACATTGCAGGCTGGCGATGCCATCGAGAGTCGATTATGGTCTGGATAAGTTAATTAATGTCTAATTAATAATTTAGATAAAATTTCAGGCCTAATGAAAGACCTGGATTAGGCAGATTTAGCTCTTGCATAATGTATGTTTAAGTGTTATTACACGAGTGTAAGCTCAAAATGACGGCGTGGTTCATGATTATTACTATATTATCTTAAAAGTTTAATTTCATACCATGTCATTACAAATTAGGAAACGTTCATATTAATGCGCTATTTGGTTCCGACTCTCACTGTAGACGGAGGGCCATGTTGTACAAAGTAATTTGACCAAAGTGACTAGAAATGATCATTTGGTTATGTTTATTCTAGAATGGACTACCTTCAGAAGAAAGTGACAAATATCAAGCAGGATGATTCAATATACATTTCCCAACTAGCAATTGGAGATTCGCCAGATTCACCATTCACACAGGAAGAAGTGGACCATGCTTTGAAGGATATGAATATCAACAAAAAAAATAAAATCCCACCATCCGTGGTCTTATCAACACTCCTGAAAGTTGTCAAAAATCTTAAAAATAAATAAAATTTTCTGAATATGTATATTATAATGTTAGCGAATTACAACCTTAATTTACTTGGACATGATGATTTTATACTCACATATTATGCATTGTCGTCGTTATAAAATATTAATTTGGTCGTTTTAAGTCTTTTTTCTTATAGACTGGACGATAGACCTGCAGTGGTTTGCAACAGGGGGCACATTGGACGATGGCCCATGGCATCCAATAAGACGGCATCCAATCAAAGTTTGAAATTTATTTTGTTGCACAATCTGCCCTATTAATTTGAATAAAAAGCTTATTTCATCTTACCCATTGAATACACAAATACCCCATGGATGAACCCTGCATATAGTAGAGTAGAACGGAATGAGACCACTGGGGATACCGAGGATGTGTGCCCACCGGAATTCAAGATTTTGTGAAGGGGGATGGGGGGGGGGGAGAAATGAAATGACACGGCGCCAGAAACGTTTGAAACCGCGTTTTCCTGCCATTCTACAGCATCTCGAAAGTGGTACAAATATAGCCTTCTTTATGTGGTTTTGCAACCGAAATCCCAAACTAAGCCCACCTGAATTCGCCGGACACTAGAAAATTCACTTCTGAAATTCTTGTAATCTTGTTGATTTTCTTGTGTCGGTAATTGTCCAAAATCACATTCCTGCAGTTCCAGTCAATTCAGTGGTACGTCTTAATATATATAAAAGGAATAGAAAAATGAAAACGAATACAGCTAATATGTCGATTTAAATCGTATTATATATAGTTTTAGTCGTCCGGTCAGCATATACTTTCTGGATTCATCAATGTTCGGCTGAGAAGAGGGGTTTACCGTTTACTTAAAAAGAAACAGGTTTCGGAACTAGAGAGAGAGAAATGGGGTTTAACGTCCACTCGACATAAACTTGGTCATTTCGGGGCTAACACATGGTTGAATTTTATTTCAATAATTCGCTTGCGCGTAAGGGTCTTTAGCAGTGGGAGGAAACCGGAGAACCCGGAGAAAACCCACGAGGTTGGACAGGCGCCCCTACTCCTTGTCACGTACAACCGGGGAATCGAAACCACGCCAGCTGACTCAATGACAGACCGTATGATACAGCGCGCACATGCTAACCATTCGGCCATCCAACCCCTCATTTCGGAACTAACTTGTGGAATTTATTTATTTCAATAATTTGATATCGCACTGGGTTCATTAGCACAACACTGGAAACGAAATTAAAAAACATACAAACATCAGTTGATCACGCAGATATTTCAAGTATGAAGATAAAGCACAATCCTGGAAATAAACTTATTTAACTGATAAAGGGTATTCCCCTGATTATTCAGCGAAACCATCGCGAAACTTTATCTGTGAGTAAAAACACGTTGGAGCACATATAAATTCCTTTCACGTAAGTAATTGTTTACAAGCTTTATGCAGTTTTTAAATATCTCAAATACATAATCACTCGTAGGGGGTAGTTTAGAGAGTATTATATACTATTCAAAAAAAGTAGGGGATATTTGATTTTTAAGTGTTATTAAAGTCACCTAATGAAACTGACGAAGAAACAAATGACAAAATGAAATGAAGTTCACATTCATCGATTTATTCCAAATGATCGTTAGACTAAGTAAGGCACAGACTGATCATTATAAGGGTAAAATGATACCCGGGGTCAAACAGCAAAGTTACCACAGCATCACAACCAAGTCAGTAACGGGTAAATCCTCCTCTGTTTGCCAAACAAGCATTGATCCGACGTGGCATACTCCTAATGAGACGTCTAAGGTCATTTTGGTCCAGATTGTCCCGTTCCTGTTGCAACGCAGCAGCAAGTTCTTGGACATTGGCAGGACGTTGTTGACGTTGACGTAACCTCTGTCCAAGCATGTCCCAGACATGCTCGATGGGGGAGAGGTCGGGACTCCGTGCTGGCCAAGGTAATGTGGTGATGTTCTGTTGTTGGAGGTAACCTGTAACGATCCTGGCCCTGTGACATCTTGCGTTGTCATCCTGGAAGATGAAACGGCGGCCATGACGTCGTGCGAACGGCACAACATGGACTGCCAAGATGTTGTCCCGGTAGTACTGGCCTGTAACACGCCCTGCAACAACATTTAAAGCCGTTCTTCCAGCAACAGTGATGCCTCGCCACACCATAACAGAACCACCCCCAAATCGATCATGTCTGATGACGTTAACGTCTTGGAAGCGCTCGTTTCGACGACGCCACACCCTCCTACGTCTGTCCAAAAAATCAACAGTGAACCTTGACTCATCTGAAAACATCACATTCCTCCAGCGTCGATTATCCCAGTGTTGACGATCCCTACACCAACGACGTCTTGCCTGAATGTGATGATCTCTCAAACAAGGGATCACGCGAGGACGTCGGGCGCGAAGGTGACCCCTATGCAGTCGATTCCGAATCGTCTGGCCACTCACTCTCACACCAGTGTCTGTTTGAAGACGAGCGCTGATCTGATTTGCTGTGATGACACGATTTCTCAAGGCCAAGGTACGGATAAATCGATCCTGGGCTTGAGTTGTCGCCCTTGGTCGACCTGAGCGTGGTCTGTCCTGTACAGATTGTGTATTACGGTATCTGGACCACAACCGCCTGTGTTGTGCCGATCTGTAGCATGCCAAGGGCACGTAACCTTTCATTTTGGGTAAGCCGACGCATATCAAAATTTGTTTTCTGGTCACTAAAACAATTAAACTGATGTTTCCACCCTGGAATTCAATGCCACAATGACTGTAACATTCAAAGTCAGAGTCGTTCAAATCTTGGGTTGGACCCCCATGATGATCCCAAGCATCACATTCATTCCATGCGGTAGCTATTGGTGCGTTTGGGCGTCACATGTAACTGGAAATGTTTCTTCTGTTAGGTTCTATAGTGACTTTTTTCGTAGTCATTTGCATATTTTAGTATTATGCCCCCAAAATCAAATATCCCCTACTTTTTTTGAATAGTATAGAAGCAAACGAAGGCGGGGCTGCCAACGACTGCTAATCGTTTGGATATAACGAAAACCGTATTCCACCCTTGTACTAGTTCGATGAAAGGTAATAAGTTTTATTTTGGCTTCAAATGTTTATACATTTATTAAAATGACAAACCCATAATCAACTCTCTAGGACATTGGATAGCTCCGATTTTAAGTAGATTAGAACGATTCGGCCATTTAATAATTTAATTTAAAAATGGAGAAGTGAAACAAAGTCTTAAATAAAAAGTACCGTTGTTACAATAATACTGTCAAAACTCCAAACAGTGATAACGTTGCTCAGAATAAAGTAATTTGAATGAAATGTCCAATATATTCCATTTTTATTATCTATTTGTGAACTATAATAGCAAAAATCTTACATAATGCATCTTTAAACTAATTTCAGTTTTCAAAATGTTACTATTGCACTGGTTGCGTTTACCAGCGATTATTTTCATAAACGTTTAGGCACGGATTCATTTGACATAGACAACAATCCGAATCTTATATTTAAAGGTATATTATGTACGAGCTAAATCTGCCCGTTTGAGTGATTCCTTAACCCCAAAAGTTATGTATATTATTAAATCACATGATAAGCACATAATCAATTCCCTAGATCATCGGATGGTCGCGATCGATTTTCAATGGACTGAAACACGATCGCCATTTTTAATTTAATTTAAAAATGGATAGAATCGTAACAATGGTATAGCCGGTACATCCATGGTTTGTAATGTTTGCTATCTTTGTAAAGGTTTTCTTTTAAGTTGCCTTTTTATTTAAATAAAAAAAAATTAGTCATATTATTCATTTTCCCTGATATTGTGGTCAACTATTTTTGATTGCCTGGTAAATTTAAAAAGTCCGTGTCTAGTCATTCGTACGGCAAGAGAAACCGACGTGAACCGAGTGTACCGAATGCTTACAAATCAATTCGCCATGTCAGCAAAGGTGAGTTTTTCATTACTGTTTACTGGATCATTTTCATTTTATTATAGACTGTCAAGTGATGTATATTCGATGGACTTAAAACTGGAGCATGCACATATGAAATAGCAACGTAGTGGCTTGTAATGATCGTAAATATTTCTCGAAATTCACAAAACAACTGGAGTTGAATAGGCGTGTTTATAGTCAGCCACTCGGTCATACCTCGGATTTTAAACCATTAAATATTTCACCTTGTCGGATTTATATGGCGGCAGATTTATTATTTAGCAGCACGAGATCTATTACACATTTATTGATGAATTTTCACACTATAAAATCATTAGAAGAACATTAATCTAGAATTACCTTTGATTCAGTATTAAACATTGAAACTAATATGAATGTATTATAAATGTTCACCGCAAATGATGGTCTAAGTAAGTAGATGAATGAAAGAGTATCATTTCTATAGCGAAGCAAATTTTGTACAAAATTTCAAATAGTAATTTCTGTAATATAGCGCTTCTATTAAAACCATCATGACTGATCAATGCCTGAATTTATTATACCATACATGTCATGCATATTTAATAATATTTTCTACCTTTATATTTCAGCCGATTTTATATTCATACTTCAGAAGTTCCTGTTCATGGAGAGTTAGAATTGGTAAATAATTTTACTATTTAATCTTTCCTATTTTCTACTGTTATGTGAAACAAGGAAAAGATGGGTCATGTTTTTGTAGATTAATTATTAGGTTGGTTTTTTTAGGAATAAGTAACAATTGCATAAGGATTGAATAAGCTTTTTTGGATCATTTTAGAATTTAATTTTTTAATTGGATAATCTCTACCATTTTATGCGACTTATCTTGACAGATTTTTAATTTTAACAGTTGGTTGAGAGTGAACATCGTTGCGAAACAAATGAAATGAAATGAAATGGGGTTTAACGTCCTACTGTTCTGCTCCTAAACTGGGCTAATGAAGACGGGGTTGCGAAACAAAAGTTATTTCTACTCATGACACTTTAATATAATGAAGTTGATCAAACATGGAAAAATGGCTTGTAATTATATAATTATGCAACTTCTGCATTGTGTTGCCCTTCATTGCACGGGTAGAGTTTTTATTCCCATTATTGTAACATCCATCCATAATAATGCAATAATCATCAATATTCAGTTTCACGCTACACCAAATACAAAATAAATAGACCATTAAATTTCTTGTATAAAACTTCCGATAATCTTATCCTTTAAGATTTTAGACTTTCAAATAGATCGTTTATGAATGTTTTTAAATTTACAGCATTAGCAATAAAAGGTGTAGAATATGAATATAAAGCTGTACATTTGATGAAAGATGGCGGCGAACAGGTATGTTATACTTTCTTGACAAGGGTTTTTTGGTAATCATGTGGGATAAATAGCTTTATGATACTTTAATCCTGGACCATCGATGGTGGTGTATTTAATTGGCCGGGGACAGTACGATATATTAAATGTTGTGTTTGGCCTAGAACCCCGATTCTAGAACTTATTACTCCAACCTGTCTTGATATTACTTTTGTTTCAAGGTCTCTTGTGTTGTAAAATAAAAGAAATGGTAGTCGCGTCTCTCTCTCTCTCTCTGCTAGGTGAAACAAACACTCGATTTTCATTTCAATACGTGCCATTGCCTTTTCCCCTTATGGCTCCGCTATTGCGCATACAATTTGTTGTTATTTTCAGCATACTGAAGATTTTAAAAGTAAAAACCCAATGCAACAAGTTCCTGCATTTGTGGTTGACAACCAAACTCTTGTACAGTCTGTAAGTAAAGAATAAATAAATAAAAAAAAACCCACAAATATACTGTTCAAACGTATCGTATCATTAGCCAAATCATATGAAGAATTGTTTGTCGCCGACAAGATGTTTGGAAAAATACTCCCCAAACACTACACTGATGTTCCATCGACAATTTTGTCATGAATGAGAATTTTCCATCGCCATTTTGATATCATGGTGACGTTCAATAAAGAGTAAACGCATGGAATGATTGGTCTATGCAAAACTAAACCCAACAGCTTTCGTCAAAGGATCAAACAATTAGTCTCTGTATATAAATGCATTCATTAATGCATGCATTTGGAAATAAGGTTTTTGGTGAATATTTATGATTTTAATGCGGATGCATAACAGTGATAAAGGGTTGGTTACATTGAAATGTGCGGTGCATAATTACATTTTTACTAGTATGCTATTTCTTGTTTGTGTATCTCAAGATTTCCGTGGTGAACTACATACATGTTTTTGAGCAAGATGTTGCCACAAATTGCTCTGAGTTATCTCCCATCATACACTCAGTTGTCTTTATGAATCCATTTGTCTTGAATACAAATATATGTATATTACTCCATTTATGTTTTTGATACAATATAGCTACCAATAATAGAGTATATAGAAGAAGTTTATCCTGGACCATCTTTATTACCAAAAGACCCAATACAAAGAGCAAAGGTAAAGATGCTATACAAAAGTGAACAATATTGATAATGTACTTTTAACTTTACTATTTAACTACCTTTAAAATACAGATGTGACGTCACCCTTTGATGTTGGCGTACCATTATTTCAAATAATCGTACGGGCAACTTGCCAATAGTACTTTATTCATACCGGTGAGATATTGGACTAGTGTGACGTAAAAGCTCGTGCGGAGTGTCAGTATTTTAAGATGTTTAATGGTCTCGAGCTTACGACATTGCGTAATATATTGTAAAAACATTCGGGCCTACGGCCCTCATGTTGTTACAATATATTACTTAATGTCTCGCTCTCGACCATTAAACAATACTTAATCAATTAAATGAATTTTAAATTGCACTTCAACCAGACATCTCAAAAGGTGTCTCGACAGAAGTTTTAGTTTTTGATGAATTCATACCAATAATACTTATTGTTTTTCTTCAGGTAAGGGGTTTGGCAGAAGTGATAAATTCAGGAATTCAGCCATTGCAAAATCTAACCGTTCTTCAGTATCTTAATGAAGACACTAAAAAAGACTGGGCCAAGCACTGGATTCATTCTGGATTTGTTAGTGAGTTGAATATAATTTGTTCGTACATGGGGTATTTTTTAACCACGAAGATCTATATTATTTGTTTCAGACTTTGTCAAGATCATTTACATAATAATAATGATAATGACTTGAAGGATTGAAGATTAGCATATAATAGCCTTTCTAACATCCCACTCTTTATAGAAAATATAATACAAAATATATAGCCTGATAAATTAAATAATGTATCACAATGAATTAAAATAGAGAGGGGAAAATATACAAAATCAGTTAAAAAGATTAAATAAGGTATATATGTGAGTCATAAAATCAGATAGCTTAAGATAAGCAAATATCTCACTATCCTCAACCAGGAAGTAGGTACACATGTAATCCAAGGGGCGTGCCATTAAACCTACAGAAAAACAGTCTCTAAAAACAGTCTCAGCACTTCTCAAATAAGAACAATAAATGGGTTTAATTATTTACAGTAAGCTTTCTTTTGTAACTGTCAAACATTGAGAACCTTGGGGTGTTTTTTTTCAGACCTAGAAAAGATGTTAAAAGAGACAAGTGGTAAATATTGTTTTGGAGATGAGATTTCTATGGCTGATTGTTGTCTACCACCTCAAATTTTTAATGCCAACAGGTTAAGTTTACATTTTGTTTTAGCTGTCATATTATAATAAACAACTCCAAGTTCAAGAAACATTATTATAAATTTTGGTAACCAGGACCCTGTTTCTCGAAAACTATAGTAGATACTTCAATTTTGATTGGCTAAGCACTACAATCAATCTAATATTATCCTATCAAATTACTAAAATTAAAATCAATCTAATATTATCCAATCAAATTACTAAAATTTGGATTTTATCTTAGTTAAAATTTCGTGAAACAGACCCCTGTTTATTAACTTTTCGACTGGTGAGTGAATATTTAAAAAGTGGGTTGACTGATAAGGATTACAGACTGCTAAACCCTGTGTATACCAATCACTAAGAATTGAGTGCACTAATCTTAAACATTCATTAGCAAGAGCTAAATCTGCCTATTGCAGGTCTTTCTTAGGCCTGAACTGTTATCTAAATTATTAATTAGACATTAATTAACTTATCCAGACCATAATCTACCCTCGATGTCAACGCTAGCCTGCGATGTTTACTGGATTAGGACCCCATTTGCTGCTCCACTTTCATTCTTGATTTAATCATGAAATGGATAATCGAGACTATGATTTTTATCGTACCGACTTTAGTTATGGTGATCGAGGCTAGACCGATTGACAATCGCTAAAATCTCAGTTCAGAGTGGATCAATTTGACTGAAATTTTCAGCACATTCCCTTTACATTATTTAGTTTCTAACTATTATAGTGAGAACTCCCATAATTTATCTTTAATATTTTGTATTTTGACAGATTTCAAGTTGATATGAATGAGTTTCCAATAATTTCAAGAATCAATGAAGAGTTATCTAAAATTGAAGCCTTCAGAGTTGCTGAGCCTAAACGGCAGCCCGACTGTCCTGATGATCTGAAATAATTTGTGGCTATAATATAAAATCTGTCGGGGTCTTCTTTTTTTGAAAATACTCGAAATATTGCTGCAAATATATACACATGGAAAAATACAAAATATTACATTTGTATTATAAAATATTCGTATATGACATAAGCCACATTCACATTAAGAATTGGTAGGCACTAATGTATGACGGGGGATTTGAGTCAAAAGTCAGTGCTATGTTGTTAGTGCTTTTACATCTACAATGTTGCAAATGTTGAATGTAATGTGTAAATTGGAGGACGTCAAATGTAAAAAAATGATATGTAATACTGACAAATACATCATGTAAATTAACATCTACTTTTTGTCATCAAACATTTCACATTAGACATTTCCAAATTTCCACGCCTAACTCCATCTACCCAGATCTTTAAACACTGAACTCTCACATCTTCTCATATGACACGCGCACTATGTATTGTACCGTTCAACATTTCACTTTTACATCGTAACACAGAACTTACGACATGAAATTAGCCAGTTCACACGTGACATCTCGCGTGAAGAAAACATAATTTTCAAGCAGGGAATTCCCCCCGGTATGAGACCTGCAACCGGATGTTGATTTCATGATTTTTATACGCCCACATTGAAATGTGGTCGTATATTGTCGTCGCCCGTCCGTCCGTCGGTCCGGCGTCCACAATTGCATGCGGACGCTCTAGAGACTAAAGTTAATATCCGATTGACTTTAAATTTAAGGTCATGAGACGAAGAAGCCTATTAATTTTCAGCCATTTCCGATAATTACTGCCAGAGTGATGGCGACATGATCACTTCAAAAAATCTTGTGGACGCTCTAGAGGTCAAAGTTAATATCCAATGGACTTTATTTTGATACACAGTGTTTAAGGTCACGCGACAAAGACGCCTATTGATTTTCAGCGATTTCTGATAATTACTGCCAGAGTTATGGCCCTTGATCTCTTCAAAACATCTTGTGGACGCTCTAGAGGTCTAAGTTAATATCCGATTGACTTTAAATTTATACATAGTGTGTAAGGTCTTGAGACGAACCTGTACATGTATATTGATTTTCAATGAATTTTTATGACTTGAACAGCTAAACCCATGATGTTAAAAGTTTTGTATACTAAACGTTAGCATTGGGCAGAACTTTATCAAAACCAAACAAATTCTAATGGTTTTCTGATAATTACTTAATGAGTTGTTACTTTTAATCTGATTTTAATATATTATAAATGTTTCATTACCGAAAAAAGTAAAAATATGCGACAACTCTTGTTGACTGCCGGACGATTTAACTGCTGTGGGCGTATGTTTCGTTGCCTGGCAACCTATCTTTTTTCTACATAAAGAAAGAAAAGTAAAATATCTCGGCTTCCACATATAACACAAGAGATTGTTCGTAGAATTCATAGACTTTATCGCCTGTCCAACCTCGAAGGTTTTCTCCGGGTCCTCCGGTTTCCTCCCACTGCTAAATACCCTACGTGCATGCGAATTATTGAAATAAAATTAAACCATATGTTAGTCCCAAAATGACCTAGTTTGTGTCGAGTGGACGTTAAACCCCATCTCTCTCTCTCGCTCTCTCTCTCTCTCTCTCTCTCATAGACTTTACTACTGAATAATTTTACTCTGAAGTCACGGGGTTTTGTGTGAACGTGTGTGACAGTCTATGAGCAATGTGGACATAGAAAGTTGCCATAACAACCATCCTGCCCTTCATGAGAAGTATACATAATACAAAATATAATAGCTCAACAAATAAAAGGAGAAGAATTACAATGGCCCATGGATGGGTATTATATAATTTATAAACAGGATAGCATTATAATGCAAAAGATGACAGCACCAAAAAGAGACAGTCATACAGCTTAGATCTCGCGTGATTAAAAATAGGTACCGTATGAACTAATTTGCATACTGGCCAATTTCATTACTTGTTCTGTGTTACGATACACAAGACATATGTCGAAGGGTACAATACATAGGGCGAGTGTCAAATGAGAAGATGTCAGTCAGAGTTCAGTGATTTAAGTTCTGGGTAGATGGACTTCGGCTTGTTGTGAAAAGTCTAATGTGAAATGTTTAATGACAAAAATTTACACGATGTATTTGTCAGTATTACTGGATTTTTTACTTTTGACTTAGTCCAATTTACACATTACATTCAACATTTGCAACATTGGACATGTAATAGCACTAACATACAACTGACTTTTGACTCAAATCCCCCGTCATACTAATGCCAGAAGAAATTTATTTTTAATTATCCAGGCTCTTGATAATAAATTTTCACTGAGTTCATTCTACTCTTATTTGACTATTTCCGGAAAATAGACAAGTAGGCTATCAGCCGATGTATGAGATTTTATAACGTCGATTGTCGGGGTGATGTCGATTGTATGGACGATGATGTCGATTGGATGTCGATTGTATGGACGATGATGTCGATTGTATGGATGTCTTTGTGCTAAAGTAAACTGGGCATGTACATTTTAACTGCGATTACTTATATATTGATGCAGTATAAGCCGGCAATACATTTATTGGATGATGCATTTAATTTGTTTTGATGGATGTGGTTCAAATATTGAGTAGAGTTATAATACATGTATGTCTCTTTCAGTTATATATTTATAAATATATTGTTAATTATCTTTACTGTACTGAATTATGGATTTTTGGCCTGGGACTAGATCTTACATGGATCTTCAATCAGATCTTAGCCTTAGGAAAGTTGCAGACTAATTTCCGTTATATATATTATGGGGACATATGGTGCTTACTGATATGGCAGCTTATATAATTTGAAATAGTATTAATAAAATATACATATGATTTATTAATCTCGTCGTTATGTGGGGGGTTGGATGGCTGAATGGTTAGCACGTGCGTGCTGTATCATAAAGTCTGTCATTGAGTCGACAGGCGTGGTTTCGAATCCCCGGTTGTAGGTGACAAGGAGTAGGGTCGCCTGTCCAACCTCGTGGGTTTTCTCCGGGTCCTCCAGTTTCCTCCCACTGCTAAAGACCCCGTTGCGCAAGCGAATTATTGAAATAAAATTAAATCATATGTTAGTCCCGAAATGACCTAGTTGTGTCGAGTGGACGTTAAACCCCATTTCTCTCTCTCTCTCTCTCTCTCTCTCTCTCTCTCTCGTAAAAATGATTACAAAACATAAACGTACATGATTTTGGTGACCGACGACAGCGTCCTTTTTTTAAAGGAGCTAAATCGCTAATATTTGGGACCTAGAAATTAACACAAACGGGTCGCAACGCATATAATAATGTAATATGAATGTCTATAACTGATTTACATTCCACTGTAATTTCTAATCAGTTATGTTCGGCGAAATACGCCAGAAGTCTCAATCGAATGGTAATCTGTAGCGTCTGGTTATTCCAGTCTACACCGATAATATTTATTGCGCATGCTCTCCAGACAAGAATATGTCGTCACCGTTCAACATGACCTTGTGGAATATGTCTAGCCTCGTTCTTTGAGTCCCTTGTCACAAGGGGGTCACGGTGGCTAAGTGGATAAGACGTTGACTCGCTAGGTGTTCGCTCCCTGCATTGGCCGTGAAAGTTCATCCAGATTTTCCGGCGTGGTTCCACCTTGCCAGTGATGCAGGACGGACGACCTGACAAGGACAGCTGTCTAGTCGTTCGGATGGGACGAAAAACCGAGGTCCCGTGTACACATTGGCGTGCACGTAAAAGATCCATTGACGGCTGGAATTTGATATAGGAGTAGGCCGTAGTGCCGCTGTCCGGGCAAAATTTCCTTCATAGAACACTCTATGGCGTATGCTCGTCTTCATTAGCCCAGTTCCGAGCAGAACAGTAGGACGTTAAACCCCATTTCATTTCCCTTGTTACAAATGGTGCTGAAACGCATTATGGTACACGATTCGTGTACGAATGGAAAAAGGCTTATTTTGTCTTAAATATTGGATATCAGAAGCCACCAATTCCCGGTAAGACCACAACATCAATGTTGATTTAAACTGACAAATAATTTGTGTTTTCAATGTCGAAGACTTTGGATGATATTGAGTTCGAGACTTAGCTACTTTAAAATACTTCAATGTACACAAATATATTGAGCCTAGATCGTGGATGAACTGAGACGGAGTCTTTGAGTATACTAAGTTAGGATCCTTAAAGAAGTTTATATTCTTACGTAGTTTGGTTGTCCTTTTTATACGGAGTCTTTGAGTATACTAAGTTAGGATCCTTAAAGAAGTTTATATTCTTACGTAGTTTGGTTGTCCTTTTTATACGCTCACATTTTCATGTGGACGTATATTGTCGTTGCCCCTGTCCGTCCGTCCACAATTTGTCTGTGGACATTCTACAGGTCAAACTTTTTATCCGATTTTGACGAAACTTGAAATATAGGTCTATCTCCCAAAGATCTCGTTTCCTTTCGATATTGGCATGTATCGGACCGTAACTTCATCGATTATGGCCCCTGATTGTACGAACAATCACATTTTTAACTTGTCGACACTCTCGAAGGCACAATTTTTATCCGAATCTGATGAAATTTTATTTCATCTAACTTACCTGACAAATACGTATAGAATATCTAGCAAAAACCGGAAGTAGCGCAGTCATGCGCACTCATAACTTCCTTTACCTGAGTGAGTGCGCAAACACCCATCACTTCTTTCTCGGCGATAAAACAAGTCACACGTGTTTTAGTTTAGTTGTTTGACTTAGCAACAATCGTTGTTACGATGGATAATATTTCGAAAGAAAGATCGGATTCTGAATCTGAACCCGATGAATCAAAGGTTGGTAATAAATCATCGAGTAGTTGTAGAACGGACGGTAGAGGCCGTCTTAGTACAAGTAATAAGGTATCAAATTTAGAAAAAAAGTTTGATTTATTACTTAACGATTATCGAGAAATAATGCAGTTTCGCCACGAAGGCGACCAGCCATGATAGTTTCTAGTGAGGACGAAGACCTCATTTCCCTTCAACCGGGACAGACGGAAACTCTGACTAGTGAGGACGAATCAGGGATGCCTCGTTTGGATCCACAACTGTCTTCGGATTTTTCAAAGAGTACTAATAAAGGGCTTTTTGATTTGTTTGGCAAGGATGCCCTGACTAAAGCATCAGAGGACAATACACAAGGGATTACTCTAGACAGCTGTCAGAAGGAAGTTTTACTCCAGAGCTGGAGGGCTGCTAATCCCAGTAATGTTTCAGCTTTTTCTGAAGAAAATTTTGAGACTTTTTCTGTGTCAAAAGAGACACAAGAGTTTTTAAAGGTGCCATCATTAGATGAGCTAGTAGAATCCTGTCTAGTTAAAAAATTTGGGAACAAGGCAGCTTTTACCAAGTCAGGAGCCTTCCTCTTTTCTCAGCTGTTTAAAATGCTGGAGAAAATGGCATTTAGAGGACAGCAGTCCGCTTATTTAGGAATTGTCATTCAGTTGTATTTACAACAAAATTTAGCCTCTTTGTTGGAAGTTGTGCAAGACAAGGAGTTTGACAAGGCAGACACAGTATCTCGTATTAAAGATATTTTTGCTATGTCGACTAAGGGCCTGGATCAATTAGGTCGAACAGGTGCATTCCACCATATGACTCGTAGAACGGTAGCCATGATGGGGTGTTCGGGGTAGACTTAGAGAAAACTCTAAAAGAGAGAAAAGAAAAGTTAAAGTCTGTAGCAGACATTTTACCTTTTTCTGCAAAAAAACGTAGAGCCCCTATGGAAGAAAGCCATAACTCAAAGCGCCCACGAACATCGGGTCAGAATAATACGAACTCTAATTTTTCAAAAAACTATAACCATAATAATGATTCCTTTCGTTCCTATGAACGAAATAGCAGAAGATATGGGCACCGTACAGACGATCAGGGTAGAGGTTTTAGAAAACCGTCAACCACAGTCACGAGTAACAGTCAAGGAACAGGGAAAAAGCCCTCCTTTCCCAGACAGTGACTTGGTAAGTTTGAAGATGAGACCAGACATTCCTGTCGGGGGTCGCCTGTCATTGTTTTTGAAGGAATGGAAGTTGATAACGAAAGACATGTGGGTATTATCAGTAATAGAGGAAGGCTACAAACTAGAATTTGTACAAATACCACCTTTTTTAGGGATAAAACAAACAATTTTAAGAGAAAAAAATTCAGATATTATTTTGGCAGAAATAGCCACTTTATTAAAAAAAAGGGGCAATAGAAACTGTGTCTTCTTCTCAAGCAATGACAGGTTTTTACAGCACACTTTTTCTGGTCCCAAAGAAAAATGGGGAAATGAGACCAGTAATCAATTTGAAACCGCTCAATCAATATTTGAAAAAAATTCATTTCAAAATGGACACATTATTGAAAGTCTTGACATCAGTAGTGCAGAAAGGGGATTGGGCAATATCCATAGATTTGAAGGACGCATATTTTCACATCACCATTTTTCAGAAGCACCGAAAATATCTACGCTTCAGTGTAAACGATCAGGCGTACAAATTCAAGGCGTTGCCATTCGGCCCAACATCAGCCCCACGGGTATTTACGAAGGTGTTGTCAGTAGTTGTGGCCCACCTCCACTTCATGAATGTCCGAATGGCAGCTTATTTAGACGATTTATTAGCAGTAAATCGGCAGAGACAGGTCCTGCTAAGAGACAAAAGGGTGGTGTTGGATTTTTTAATACGACTAGGGTTTGTCATAAATATCAAGAAGTCCGAACTGGTTCCGGCCCAGAGAATTGTGTATCTGGGTACCGAATTCCATTTGGATGCAGGCTTGGTGTTTCCCACTCAAGAGAGGGTAGCCCTGTTAGTTTTAGGGATAAAACAAATTTTCCGTCCAATGTCAATAGCTAGGGACTATCTTCGGGTTTTGGGAATGATTGCCTCAGCATTGAAGATTATACCAAACGCAAGACTGTTTATGCGACCAATCCAAATGTATTTGTTGAGAAACTGGAGACCTTCTGTAATGAGTATGCATACTCCTATCCCTTTTTCTCAAGACCTGGTAGTACACTTAAATTGGTGGTTGCAGGATCAAAACATTCTAAAGGGTCAATTTTTGCAACCCATGCAGTGCACGGTTTCTCTCACGACCGATGCGTCGATGATCGGTTGGGGTGGACACCTCGCACAGAGAGGACCATTTGTTCAGGGGATTTGGCCTCAGGAATTATTTAATCACCACATAAACTTTCTAGAGATGAGAGCGGTTTATCTGTGTCTGGAGTATTTTTTACCACATTTGAGACACAGGGGAGTTCTAGTGAAATCAGACAATTCAACAGTAGTCCAATATATAAAGAAGCAAGGCGGGACCCGTTCTCTGCTTTTATGTCAGGAAACTTGAAATCTCTGGAATTTAGCGCTGTCAAATGGGATAATCTTAAATGCAGTGCATATTCCAGGGGTCAAAAACACACTGGCCGATTCATTGAGCCGGAACATGATGCGAGCAACGGAATGGTCTCTGAATCAGGACACTGTTCAAAAGATCTTTTGGAAATGGGACCGCCCGTTAATCGATCTGTTTGCCACAGAGAGCAATCGAAAGGCTCCAATATTTTGTTCATGGAAGTTTCATCCCAAAGCTCTAGCAATAGATGCGTTGACAATCAGTTGGGAGGGAATGTCAGCCTATGCATTTCCACCAGTTTGTCTAGTCCCATTAGTACTTCAACAGTTCAATTTGTGTCAGAACTGCGAAATGATCCTGATAGCCCCATTCTGGCCGCGACAAATATGGTTTCCAAACCTTCTCAGTTGTCTGGTCGATCTTCCTTTTCGATTACCCAACCGGACAGACCTACTACAACAGGGACACCACCCAGTGGTTTATCACCC